GTCAGTATCTAAATTAGGCGCCGCGTGACGTGTAGGTTAACCTAGTTCATGAACAAGTCGCATTTCAAAAACCGATGACAAAACATTTTCGGAACAATAACGTAGTTATCGATTTAACGTTAATTTACTGTGAGTGTCTTCAAGCAATTATACCCCGCGAGTGCATTCAAAACGTGGTCCTCCATGTTTACATCAGAGCTGCGTAAGTTTGTTTATATCATGCAACGGAGTAGAAGACCTGAACACCCTCAAATGTTGCAAATTTAGTAAGGAGTAGGCAAAGCTGTGGTGTTTTTGAATCGAACAGTGATAACTTCAAGCACTACTCACAAACAAATTATGAGACAGGGCGGTACTTGAAACTCCTAACCAAGTGAACAGTGAGTATTTTTCTTTTGTTCGTTTTTTACGTTTTCGGTGTTGTTTTGCCGCGAGCTTATTCAGAATTTCGTCCTCGATGTTTTCATCAGAGCTGCGTAGATTTGTTTATATCTTGCAAAAGCTGTCATGTAGAACAGGTTATTTGGAACGAAAAACTATAATGCACTGAACAGCAGAAGTAGAGTAAAAACATCTACCGTATGTTCAGGACGCGGTTGATATACCTCGATCTTGGGAACAGCTAGAGTCACAATGCTGGTCAAATTAGAAAAAAGTGACTGTATTATATTTTACATTGAATACACACTTTGTAGAATCGCTACTGATGCTTTTACGAAAGTCTGCTGACCATGTGGCTACTTCTGCATTATAATACAGGTTATCCTCAAAGTTGGTACTTTCTTTAACCAAGCGTATAAGTCAGGAAATAATAAGTAAGTGTTTTCTAGTAACAAACATATGAAAACCTTAAGGCAACCGAAGACCTGTAAATGTAAATCTGCCTCCCTCCCGTCGTCCTCATCCTCCTCTGGAAAAAGTTACGATATTGTATTGTATGTGAGTCAGTATCTAAATTGGGCGCCGCGTGATGTGTAGGTTAACCTAGTTCATAAACAAGTCGCATTTCAAAAACCGATGACAAAACATTTTCGGAACAATAACGTAGTTATCGATTTATCGTTAATTTACTGTGAGTCTCTTCAAGCTATTGATACCCCGCGAGTGCATTCAAAACGTGGTCCTTGATGTCTCCATCAGAGCTGCGTAAGTTTGTTTATATCGTGTAACGCAGAGGAAGACCTGAACACCCTTACATGTTGCAAATTTAGGAAGGAGTAGGCAAACCTGTGGTGTTTTTGAATCGAACAGTGATAACTTCAAGCATTACTAACAAACAAAACATGAGACAGGGCAGTACCAAGTGAATAGTGAGTAATTTTCTTTAATTTGTTTTTTACGTTTTCGGTGTTGTTTTGCCGCGAGTTTATTCAGAATTTGTTCCTCGATGTTTCCATCAGAGCTGCGTAGATTTGTGTATTACGTTCAAAAACCGTCAGGTTAGACATAGTAGAATACCTAATATTGTAAATTTAACGTTTTTGAATCGAACAGTGATAGCTTCAGGCACTATTTACAAACAAAATATGAGAGAGAGGCAAGTCCGAACTTTCAGGGTGCTCTGTACGGCATAATCATGCGCATATAAGCGCACCGAGTCATATCATCCGCGCACGTGGCATGGTTCGGTTGTTCACAGAAGCGGCGAACAGACGCAAACGGGCGGAATGTATTCATCCTGTCCATACGTACGTCCCGTCGGCAACGTCATTGTGTAGACTGCTTAATTGTTGTCGATGCTAGCCGGTCAGTGACTGTTGCGAGGATGGACGCGAACATTATCCAACTACGGCGTTACCTGAACCGGCTAATGCAATTAACAGCAGTTTAGCCGGTGCGTTCGCCATAATGCTCCCTGCTTCTGAATGAGATTCTTGGGGGCTGTTATAGCCCAGGAGTCGAAGAATACCACACGTCCCGCATTTCTTCCTGCGTATGTTTCTATTTATGTTGCTATATTGGAATTCACAGAACTTCTGCACTACACGTGAATATGTACAGCCCTGTATTCCTGTTCTTGTTTCGTACAGACATACATTGTCAAAATAATTACGATCTAACATATACAGGGTGTCCGCAAAGTTGGGGTTTTCCTTTTCAGAAACAACTACCCTTGAAATAACAGAGGTAATGTGTAGTGAAGCGAGGGCGACCAAGTAAAAAAAATAAAGGAAAAAGTACTCACTCTCCAGTTGACGAGAAGGGCTAAGTACGTCTCTGCCCGAAATCATACCGCTCCAACAGAAAATGAAATCAGCTGATGCGCTACCGAGCAGACGCAGATACCACATTGATTGTCTTACACTTAATGGCACATCTTCTAACAAGGAAGGCAAAATGTTGCGTAAAAAGTCTAGGTATTGCATCCCGTCCAATCGATTTGGGAGAATAAATGGTCCAATGAGCATACCGTTCACCATGCCAGCCCAAACATTCACCGAAAATGTTTGTTGAAAATGTGCCCGACGGACAGCGTGCGGATTTTCTACTGACCAAACATGAGTGTTGCGAAAGTTATTCACCCCATTACGCGTGAACGTAGATTCGTCTGTCACCAATATGCACTTCAAAAAGTCCGGATTATTGTCATGTTGATGCAACAACCACTCACAAAACCGCACTCTTGCTGGAAAATCGTCAGGTTGAAGGGCTTGTACACGTTGGACGTGAAACGGATACAGCCCCTCTTCACGCAGCGTTTGCCACACTTTAGTTTTTGATACTTGCACTTCTCTAGACACGTCTTTAGTGCTTGTTGAGGGATTCTCGTCTATGCGATTACCTCTACACGCGTGACCGTAACCGTCGGTTGAAGGTTACATACTGACCTGACACACTGACCCCGACCCAGTTCTGTCGTCGGGTTGAGCCAGTGACCTTGTACCAGTCGGTGATGTCGCGGCTACAGGACGGTATTCAGATATTTTTGATGTTGCAGAGCCCTTTATCTCGGTTCCCTTAAGACATTGGTGTATATGGTACTAAGAAGAATTGCTTATGTTTTCAAGATCTACACATCGTGTAAAGGAAAACCCCAACTTTGCGGACACTCTGTATAGTTTTTTACAAAGATTTCCAACATTTTTACATGCTATTAACACCGTTTCGAAAACTGAGAAAGCAACAACTATGCTAAGTTCGACAACGAAAGTCTGAAGAATAACTGTAACATCTATATTGAATTTCAAACAATAATTGACTATATCTATTGATATTTTTATCACCTGCTGATATAATAGAAGTGCACGATTGTGTCAGTATTTACACCAGTTACTTGATTTGTTTAACGGGTAGTTCAGGGTATTAATCCTTAAGCTTATTACACACTAGTAGACCCCGTTGCGTTTGTCTGGAGACGGTCTCAAGACACGATCTATAGATGATCTATGGACATGCTTCTTTGTCTCGTCTAGCATCCATACGATAATATGAATATTTCGGTCTCATGTTCGTTTTCGACATCAAAAACATTGTTTTGTGTGAAATGGCTGGGATATGTCTCGGGGTCCCTCAAAATGTCTTTCTTGGTTAACATAGCAATGAAGTTTTTTATGTTTTAATTTTTAATATTATTACACTAGATAATTATACTAAGTGACATATAAATCCGGACACGCAGTTTAAATGGTTTTATTTTAATAAAATTTTGTATAAGTACTTAATGAACCATAATAAGTAAATGATTGCACTGCTTTAAAGCCCTTTGACCTTTAATAATGTGTGGATGCACCCTGATGTGCTACGCATTCTCCAACGCGCCTAGGCATGCTTCTGATCAGGTGGTCAATGTCCTCCTGTGGTATCTCATTCCAGGCAACCACCAACTCCTCTCGAAGTGCTTCTAGAGTCTGAGGAGGACGTTGCAAATTGAGCAATCTCCTACCCATCATATCCCACACGTGCTCAATTGGGGTTAAGTCGGGAGATCTTGGTGGCCATGGTAACAATGTGACATCATTATGTTGAAAGAAGTCTATTGTGACTCTTGCAACATGTGGTCGGGCATTATCTTGTTGGAAAGTTGGATCTGCCAGGGTGTCAAGAACAAAATCGAGACTCGTCACTAAAGACAATACTGTTCCATTCCTGATCCCAGAGTGACCGTTGTCTGCACCACTCAAGGCGATTACGTCGGTGTTCTCGAGTTAAACTGAGGACCCAGTGTGGCCGGTATGAAAACTAGCCAAAACTTCTCATTCGTCGGTAAACACTTCGCATGCCAATAGGTCTTCCGTGTTCTGCAAACCATTCATTTGCAATGGACCTGGTAGTGGAGAAACGGTCCCTTAAGGCCAATAATCTTAGGCGGCGATCTTCACGGTCTGTTCTACGGCGGCGTCCAGTGCCCCTTCCTCTTTGCGTACGGCCTTCTCGAAGCCAAGCCCGACAACACCTAACCACAGTGTCTACACTTCTTTGCACTCTAACTGCAATTGCCCGAAAAGAAAGTCCAGCTTCCCGAAGTCCCACTATACGGTCCCTATCAAACTCACTAAGTTGACGAAATCGTACAGGTCTCCGTACTCTAGGCATCGTAACCGATCGTACAGGATGTCAAGAACCAAAATCCACCAACGTTGATTCTTTACTGCGGCTGAAATATTCATTTTTAGAGCGTTAGTGAATTAAAAAAAAGCAGTATAAAAACCGGAATGTCCAACTGATAAGGCTGAACATTTTTTCACTTGTTATTTACAATAAGATAAATACATTCACCAACTTTTATTAAGATAAAACCATTTAAACTGGGTGTTCGGATTTATATGTCACTTAGTATATAAATGCCACGTAATAGTTTTGTTCTCATATAATAAAATATTGCCTTTCTAAGGATTTCTGAGCACTTTCTATATTTTTTTTTCAAGTTGGCATTGAACAGATAGAACACAATGGATTTAAGGATCAATAATAGGATAAAAAGTTCTATTGAGGTAGAAAAAATACCCCCCTAGACGAAATCGTGGATCCGCCCTTGATTGCAGCAAAAATGATATACTCACCGATACCATATCCTTTGGTAGCTTCTCCTTTTGGTTCCAGGGCAAACTTATACGGATGATCGTTCACCTCCAAGTGTCTTATACACCCCTTCAATCCTTCCACAACCGGCAATTTTTCCGCTAATCCTGTTGTATTCCCAGGCCCTCCTGCAATGGGATGAAAGTAAAAATAAATAAGAATTCGCCAGAAATAATATTGTTTCTGTGGTCAAATGAAACCAGATATGTGTATATTGAGCGTTACTGACGTTTCGGTCGCCCTGCCATCAATGGAAATCACAATATATTTTATACACATCTATGTTTTCATCTACTATACGTATACAATTTTTTACATAGCACCGCGTGAAACCAGTAAATTCCAGAATCCCCTGGGGTGGGTATTACCGCTGACACAATCCAAATTCAAATTCAAAATGTTTATTTCGTCATGAATAAACATCCTAAACAAAGGAAATTCTACATATAGAGCAATGACTAAAAAGGACAGTCTCTCAATTATAAAACCGATACATTAGACCCTTTAATACAAAGAGTCCCAAAGGTACAAATCTTTCTCTTAAATAGGGCGGTTGACCTGTTTATTATAGATAAAAAAATGCATGTCGTCAGCTAAATACGTTAAACTGCTAACTCCATTTTCATCACTCTGGAGGTATTTAACTATTTGACAACTATGACTCCTTTTCTATCATACCAAAACTAAATGTTTGTTAAGTTCGTACGAAAACTTATTGAAGTCATGATGAACAAATCTGCCAACTGCTCCACACACTTTATTCATCGAAATACTGCTATCTCCAGTCAAAACGAAGTGACAGGCGCACGTGTGCTCTTCAAACGCTCTTCAGCTCTAGAATAAACGTGGCTTCTTTTTGAACTATCACAGTTTGCCATTAGTTTGGTGTTCCGGTAATACTTTTTGATGAAAGGTAAGTTTGATTTTGGAAAAATATGTTTATTTTGGTTTGTAGTAAACAAAATTACCCTTATGCTGGAGTGGCAGCTTTTCTCTTAAATTACGTTTGGGCGTATTTTGGAGAGCAGTATTTATTATTGTTTTTTTTTAATGAAATTGACTTCTTGAGTTGATATGTAATGGTTTTTTGCCCTACACTACCGGCATCTAGGTTAGGTTGCATACTAGCGTATTTACATCGTAGTCGTACGTCGTATAACTGTACGCTGGCGCTGTATATCCTACTAAAATTACTGCATTAACCGCCATAATTGAAAATCAGAATGATTGGCGGTACATTGCGAATAGGTTGATGTTCCAACAGGATGGTGCCCCACCACATTACGCATTACGTGTTCGACAGATCGCCAGATTTGTCACCTTTGGATATCTTTATGTTGGTGTCATTTAATAAGCAAAATCTATGCTGCTTAGCCAACATCATTAGAAGATCTGCGCCAAAGAATTGTGAATGAGTGCCTTCAAATTACAAAGTACATTAATTTTATATCATTATAAAGGGAATTGAAAGACCTTTAAAATAATGTATCACTCGACCCCCCTTTCCATTCAAGATTTTGGGGGTGGTGTCACCCTCGCTTAGGGGGCTGCACGTGCTGACGTGATTTTTTGCCAAACTTGTGTCCCCCTCGTAAACAAAATCGTCGGGTCTGAGCTGCCAGTAAATGCGCCAGTTTCGTTTTCGATGCGCCACCCTGTATAATCATCCTCTGTCCTTACTCATTAATCCAAATGATGTGCCATAAGTTTATAAAATAAAGAAAGTATGTGTGTTTCTGTGTGCAGTTTAGTGTTTCATACCACATTCACATGAGTCAGTGACCTTTCTGCCAAATTATTATTATTAATAGTACTATACTACAACTATTTAAAACTGTAATAACTCATACGCGTGATCAACACGTGATCAGAGCTCGATCCCGGCTTCCTTCCAGTACAGCCGTATAGCGTACGACATATGTCGTTTCTGTGGCTTTGCGGTGGTCAACAGCACAGAGATGGAAATAATGGCTGATCGTTCTCCGCCGTAGAACCAATGAAATCAAAGACGCGCCTCGACCGGCAGACTCATAGGCGTCGGCAACGCATTGGAACGTGTTTCGTTGAGCGATCGCATATTGTGTGTTTTTATAAGAATTGTTGTGTGATTGTTATTGTTGTGGTTTCTGTGGTTACTGTTTTGGTTATACTTAACCATGGAGAGTACAAATGGCACGAGTGGAAGTACTGAAAGCCAGGGAACAAGTAGACGGCTTCGTAAAGCACTGAAGAGGGTCGCGAAAGAAATCGTGCTCAACGTGTTCAATTATCTGAACAGAACTATGTCGCAGGCAGATGCACTCGCGCGTTGTGAAAGTATGACAGGCATTCCAGAGTGGACCATTCGCAGGGTGGTGCATGAAAAGCAGAAAACTGGAGCTACTACTGATCCAAAGTTTAATTTGAAGGGACGAAAGGCCGTTAAATTGGATGACGATAGCAAAATGGCGTTAAGGCGAACCGTACATTCATTCTTCTTTAGGAATGAGATACCAACCCTCAAGGCTGTACATGCAGCGATCAAGGAAAATGAAAGTATACCCCAAATGAGCGTCGAGGTAATGAGGAAATCCCTGCACGAAATTAATTTTCATTACGAAACGCGTAATTGGAAGTCAGTATTGATAGAGAGACCTGAAATAGTCGCCTGGCGTCGAAAATACCTACGCGAAATGATTGAATATAGGCGACAAAGCAGAAAAATCTATTATTTGGACGAGACATGGGTAAATGCAGGTCACACAGTTAAAAAACCTGGATAGACAAAAACGTAGTCAGTAACCGACAAGCAAGCATTGAAGGTTTGTCAACAGGTTTTCGTGGACCGTCAGGGAAAGGTCAACGATTGATCGTAACTCATATTGGTAGCGATAGTGGCTTTTTAGAAGAGTGTGACTTGATTTTCGTCTCTAAGGAAGGAGGTGATTACCATGACGAAATGAATGCCTAGCTGCTTCGAGAGCTGGTTTCAAGGGGTGCTTCAGCGAGTTGAGCCCAACTCTATGATCGTCATGGATAATGCTTCCTACCATAGTCGTCGAGCCGAACGTGTACCGACCATGGGATCTCAAAAAAGTGACATGCAGCAATGGTTGCGCGAAAAAGGAATCCCGTTTGACGATTCATGTGTGAAATCGGAATTGTATGAAAAACAGCACAAACCTGCGAACATTAGTTACGTGACTGATGAGATGGCCCGTCAACACTGTGAACTGAACCCAATAGAGCCCATCTGGGCTCAAGTGAAGGGTTATATTGCGCGCCATAACACAACCTTCAAATTACCAGACGTTAAGGTTTTACCTGAGACTTCCATACAGCTAGTAACGCGCGAAGCTTGGCAGAATGCTATCCGTCATGTTGTGAAGGAAGAAACAAAAATGTGGCAGCTTGACCACCACATCGACACCATCATAGAGCCAGTTATAGTCAATTTCAACGAGGAAAGCGATAGCGACAGTTTATTACTGTCAGATGTAAGTGGAAGCGACGATGAATAAAGGTAATTCCCAAATTTTTGACTTACAATATGTTTCAAACCACTCTTTATTAAGCATGTGACAAATCTAGTTCACCCATGTTAAACATTCATACCCCGCCTATGAACAGCCGACTACTGGTAGTTAAGTGATGTTCACGTGAACATCGATGAGTCATTACAGTTTTAGATAGTTATAGTATAGTTATGAAGAATCACCCACCTATGAATAATGGTTCTCGGAACGTGATCCTGGAGAAAAGTCCTTTACTACGCCCCTGGACATGTTTTCCGTTATTCAGTTGCAGCCACGCGTCCCATCGATGTCTGTACAATGTGATATGGTTCCACTGGTTCAACAGTACCGTCTCTTCGGATCGCACCACACCTACTCCCGAGCCACAGTCAAACCTGAAACAAATTATTAAGTTATGGAATCTTTCATTCAAAAACTGAAATTCTCATGAATCAGGCTGAGAAAAAATAGTAAATAAACTCTACTAAGATGTCTCAAAAGTTTTGTGTGTAACTACAAATGTCAAGTAGATTACAGGCCAGTGAAATTTTGAATTAGATTTCAGTTTAGTTCAAAATAAACACAAAGTGTACTTAAAAAAAACGGAGGCCAATTAACTTCAATTTGAATGCGCTTTTATTTATTTATTACAGGACAATATAATGGTAACTAATAGTGTGCACCACATAAAACGAACATGATAACATAAAAAAATTCAGCCTCAATTCAAGTTCTGGTGTATCCATTCTGTCGTACAAAAGCTTATGGAAGAATATCAGGCCAGCAATGGAACGTCTTCATCGTAGAGACTGAAGTTTGAAACGTCTCACTTGAATAAATTGACATACCCGTTTCTGGATATGCCTCATCAATTTTATACTTGATACTTAACTTTGTAGATGATCTAAGATATTTATACAGGGTGTTTCAGCTTATTGTTGCATAACTCTAAGATTCGATAGAACTTTTAAAATTAATGCATAAAGTCTTTATAAACATGAGTCAAAAAATGTGTGGCTTCCGAAATACAGGGTGTTTAAATTTACTTTCTAAAATAGTTTTTTTTTAATATTTCGAACAATATTTGATGCATAACAGTGAAAATTGGTATAGAAGGGTTTTTTGGTACGACAAAACGAACCATGGGCATAGTTTTACTGTAGCCGCTAGAGGGCGCTTTCTACTGTACCTGTAGTGTATTAAAATGACCGAAAATTTTTACTTAGTGCAATTTTTTGCTTTTTGAATAAAAAAACTGATTCTTCGCACTTTTCAACATAAAAAAGCTCTCTTGTGAATTTTCGTTATAGTTAACCGTTTTTTAGATATTTCGATTTGTAAGGTTCGATGCATTTTTAATTATTTATGATAAAATAACGTTAAAAAGTCAGTATCTTGATAATTTTTAGAAGTAGGCTGTGCCTGCAAATATTTTTGAAATTGAAAGCAGAATAATATTAAACGTCAATTAGTTGACAGTTAGTTTTGTTGTCTGTTGAAACCTGAAACGTTTTTTTGCAATTGTGAATGCACGAAATTTAGTTTCTTTTACCTGTTTTTTTTTTGTAAGTTTTATAAAAATGCCATTTATATTCTCCAATCAAGAGTTAGCGGATATTCATTTTGTGTATGGCTTTGTAAATAGAAACGCAGCAGAAGCAGCCAGAGAATACGCACGAAGATTTCCAAACAGACGACATCCAACTCGCTCAGTATTTGTAAGAGTGCATCGCCAAATAATTGAAAATGGTTTTGGAAATCTCCAAAGGGATCAAAACATAAATGTTCGTCAGCGCGGATTTACCCGTATGATTCTGCGTGAGTTTGATAGAAATCCGACCGACCACAAGTGTTAGGAGAGTTTCTGGTGCCTTGGGAATTTCAGCAAGACATGTTCACCGTGTTCTTAGAAATGACCATAGACGTCCTTACCATTTGCAACCTGTGCAAGGACTACAGCCAGGGGACAGAGAACGAAGAATCACATTTTGTCAGTGGATTATTGATAGAACTGATAATAATAGGGAGTTTTTAAGTAACGTTTTATGGACCGATGAGTCATGCTTCACTAGACATGGAGTGGTAAATTTTCATAATCAACATATTTGGTCGCATGAAAATCCGCATGCAGTTCGGGAAAGAAATTTTCAGCATGAATTTAGTGTGAACGTATGGATTGGTATCTACCGTAATCGACTATTTGGACCCTACCTTTTGCCTGCAAGGTTAAATGCTGCGACCTTCTTGGAATTTTTAAAGGCTGAACATGCAAATATGTGGGATGATGTTATGTTAGACTTAAGAATACTAGTCTGGTTCCAGCTTGATGGTTGTCCAGCTGATTATTCGAGAATAGTTAGAAACTGGCTGGACGAAAATTATCCAGAAAGATGGATCGGTCGTGGAGGACCAGTCGCCTGGCCTCCACGATCCCCTGACCTAAATCCATTAGATTTCTTTTTGTGGGGATTTCTAAGAGAAAAAGTGTACCAGACTCCCGTAACCACAAGAGATATGCTAATAGACAGAATCAGGAATGCATGTGATGAAATAAGGCCTTATTTGAATAATACTATACCACGTTCCATCATTCGTAGATGTGAATTGTGTATTGAACAATTGGGTTTACATTTCGAGCAACTACTTTAGATTTTGCATGTTTGTCCTAACTATCCAATAGCATTTTAGTTGTAAATAATGAATTTAATTTGTTAAAAATAATATTGGAAAATTAAACGAATTAATATTCTGTTTTTTGGGTTTATTTGGCGTTAGGAATTATTGCTGTGTTTAAAAACACAATCTAAACGATCATCTTAATTACTTGTAATGCCCAAATCGAAAATGTAAAAAAAAATATTATTTTCCCATAAATAATTAAAAATGAATCGAACCTTAAAAATCGAAATATCTGAAAAACGGCTAACTATAAGGAAAACTCACAGGAGAGCTTTTTTATGTTGAAAAGTACGAAGAATCAGTTTTTTTATTCAAAAAGTAAAAAATTGCACTAAGAAAAATTTTTCGGTCATTTTAATACACTACATGTACAGTAGAGAGTGCCCTCTAGCGGCTACAGTAAAACTATGCCCATGGTTCGTTTTGTCGTACCAAAAAACCCTTGTATACCAATTGTCACTGTTATACATCAAATATTGTTCGAAATATTTAAAAAAAACTATTTTAGAAAGTAAATTTAAACACCATGTATTTCGGAAGCCACGCATTTTTCGACCCATGTTTATATAGACTTTATGCATTAATTTTAAAAGTTCTATCGAATCTTAAAGTTATGCAACAATAAACTGAAACACCCTGTATAATATGCATAGAAAGGGTTCCATATTAAAGAGGTCCACTCAAGTTTTGGTCTCACAATAAAAATGTTTTAGTGCTGCTTCTTTGGAAATCGATCGACAATTACGCACCCAGAATCCGTGTCGCTTAGGGAGTGACGCGTGCTACATGGACAGAGAAGTCTAATCTGCTGGAAATTGTTAGACCAGGATCATTTTCTCGCTTGTTCTCTCCAAATTAGCATTATTTATAGAATCGAGTTCATTTTGCGACAAGATCCTAGAAATGTTTAATTTTGACGTAGATTTTCAGATCATCGCCAAATAGTAGACTGTGGCACTTTAGTGAAGCGGCTTAGGAGACCGACTAACGAGACACTAAGGCCGAGGTAATGAAGGATATCCACAAGAAGATGATGGTTTAACTTATCAAAAGCCTTGATGAAATCCATGTAAGTAACACCAACTTGTTCTTTATTGTCTATCGATTTTACTATATACTGCGTAATTGTCATTAAGTTTGATGTGGTGGGTCTGTCTTTGATGAAACCATGCTGTGATGGTATGATTAGGCTTTTAACGTTCTCAAAAATAGCAGGGTAAATGGCCATTTGAAAAGCCTATGCAGAGTTGTTCAAAATACTTATAGCTCTATAGTTGAGTACATTAGATTTATTATCACCTTTCAGGACCGGACACACCTTTGCTATCTTCTAAACATCAGGACAAAAACATGAGCACAATCTTTAATAATAAAATTAGGTATACTAAGTGACATATAAATCCGAACACCCAGTTTAAATGGTTTTATTTTAATAAAATTTTGTATAAGTACTTAATGAAGCATAATAAGTAAATGATAAAAATTTCAAAAGGATTGCACTGCTTTAAAGCCCTTTGACCTTTAATAATGTGTAGATGCACCCTGATGTGCTACGCATTCTCCAACGCGCCTAGGCATGCTTCTGATCAGGTGGTCAATGTCCTCCTGTGGTATCTCATTCCAGGCAACCACCAACTTCTCTCGAAGTGCTTCTAGAGTCTGAGGAGGACGTTGCAAATTGAGCAATCTCCTACCCATCATATCCCACACGTGCTCAATTGGGGATAAGTCGGGAGATCTTGGTGGCTATGGTAACAATGTGACATCATTATGTTGAAAGAAGTCTATTGTGACTCTTGCAACATGTGGTCGGGCATTATCTTGTTGGAAAGTTGGATCTGCCAGGGTGTCAAGATAGGGTAAAAGATGGGGTTCTAGAACTTCGTGGATATAACGCTGCGCGTTCATGTTACCTCTGATGAAGATTAAAGGTGACCTTGAACCATAAGCTATAGCACCCCAAACCATAAATAACTCCAACAGTGTGATGAACATGTCTTTCAACAAAAAACTGTGGATTCCTCCTTTCACCACGTCGCCTTCTAACCCTGGCACGACCATCGTGCATGCCTAAACAAAATCGAGACTCGTCACTAAAGACAATACTGTTCCATTCCTGATCCCAGAGTGACCGTTGTCTGCACCACTCAAGGCGATTACGTCGGTGTTCTCGAGTTAAAGGGAGGTCCCCGTGTGGCCGGTATGAAAACAAGCCAAAACTTCTCATTCATCGGTAAACATTTCGCATGCCAATAGGTCTTCCGTGTTCTGCAAACCATTCATTTGCATTGGACCTGGTAGTGGAGAAACGGTCCCTTAAGGCCAATAATCTTAGGCGGCGATGTTCACGGTCTGTTGTTCTACGGCGGCGTCCTGTGCCCCTTGCTCTTTGCGTACGGCCTTCTCGAAGCCACGCCTGACAACACCTAACCACAGTGTCTACACTTCTTTGCACTCTAACTGCAATTGCCCGAAAAGAAAGTTTTTTTTTTTTCAAAAAAAAAAACTGAGCTGCCAGTAAATGCGTCTGTTTCGTTTTCGATGCGCCACCCTGTATAGCTTTTTCCGCTCAAGGAAGATTTTTTGTGTAAAAAGAAATCATTTTCGGTTGTTCTTCCATAAGAATAAAGACCGCCTTTAGAGCACCGTACTTACTAAAGCAAAGGGTATAGAGTATAAAAGATGAGCCATAAAATTCCGGTGCCTAACCTTATTA